AAAAAAAACAACAACAACCCAGATGCTTTCAATCTTGAAGTAATTTCCAAATGTCAGAGTTATCAAACAATCCAAACAAGCAAAACTTTTTCCCTCTTCTTCTCTTTACAGTTTTTTCTCCAGAGGCAAAATCCCAGATATATTTTAAAAGCCGTATTTCCATTAATTAATGGTCTTGTAATCTTCAAGGCGTCTCCTCCAGCAAAGTTTAGGAAAAAAAATTTTTTTTTTTTTAGTCCTCCCCTTCCCACTTATAACAAAGAGCTTATTTTTACCTTTAGAGAGCAAGTTTTTCTGTGCTCCTTTGCTTTCTCCGTAGGGAGGGGGAGTGAGCTTTCCTTCAGCACTTTCGCCGATGTTACAAATTCTTTTGGAAACAAATGTATCAATCCAAAGTCAGGTTCCCAGGGTGTTTTAAAAGTACATCATGTCCTGGTTTAGCCAAGAAAACTTCTCCTTCTAAGTCTTCCTCCTGCACAAACTTGTCCGGTTGAAGAATCCTTCATGGCTGCCGAGACAGCCGCTCATCCGTCTCGGGAAAAAGGAGTCTAGCCGGCTGGGGAGGGGGGGTGCGATGTCCCCAGACCCCTGCTCGGATCTCCTCTGTCTTCCGCTGCCCCTTCAGGGTAGCGACAACCCCCAAATCCAGTTGGATCGGGGGTACCTTGACGGCGAGCACAGCAGGGACCCGCAGAGAAGCGGATTCCTGCCGTCGACGAAGCCTTACAACCTGCCAACTTGCAGATTTTTATCTCTATGAAAATGTCACTTGTAATATCTCAGTTTGGGCTAAAACAAAATAAAAATCTAAAAGTCGAAAAAATTTAGAATTCTAAATTTAAATATAAAACATCAGTCTAAAAAATGTTGGAAGTGTAATCAGACTCCAGGTACTTATTATCATATCTGGGGGACATGTATGAAAGCAAGAAAAGATTGGACGAAAATACATACATGGTTGGAAAAGATGATTAAGCAGCATACAGATTTGAAACCAGAAATATTCTGATTAGGTATAATACCCGAAAGCTATGATAAAGGGACTATATACTTAATTTTACATGTATCGACAGCAGTGAGAATTGTATTTGCACAATATTGGAAAAATGAGAACACTCCATCAGATGAAGATATAATTCGGAAAAGATTGGACTGTGCAGAGATGGATAGATTGATACTGAAAATAAAAGATGAAGGAGATACAGAATATTACTCCACAGAGAATAGATTTTAAGAGTGGTTAGAGATAAGAGGTAGAAATTAGATGAAGAAAGAGTATAAATTAAACATAAAGATGGTTTATAACTGTAAGCATGCCAATATTATCAACAGGATTATAAATAAGCTAACATAAAGATAAGTTTGTTCAAAACCATTCTGGTGTACCACTACTATTGTTATTAGCATATATGCTACTGTTTCCTGTTTTCCCCTTCTCTTTTAATGAGAGATTTTAATTGACCCTCTGGCAGATTGTCCTGTCAAGGCCACAAGGTTAAGGCCACACCTCCAGTCAATGCTTGGCAGCAGTTGAGATGAAACTTCTTAAAATAAAATACATTTCACTAAGGATCAACACCAGTCTGGTGTTGACTGCTACAGGAATAAAGACTTTGATTGCACTTTCCTTAAGCTGAAAATCATTAAAAATTAGCATGCTGTCTTGACCATGGAACTCCCTTTTAATTCTTTTGTCTTGGCTGTTTGGTGATGTTTTGCACTGAGATTAAATTTTTTTAAAATTATCGGATAATAAATATTCATGTGTCATCAGACACTTTTCACAAATTAATTGGCAAAAGAAAAGAACCATTTCAACCCCCAAAGTAGAATGTACAGTCATTTAAACATAATGCAAAAAATATTAATATAATCTTTGCACTGGAAGCAACCAGTGCAGTGCTCTCAGGATACCTGTCTTAAGCCACTAATGGAGGAGAAGGTGGCCTTTGAGGCAAATTCCACTTTCTAATCTCCATGATGTTATCCGCCACATCATATTTGAAATTGCCAGCAGAGTGCTATTTCCTATAAACAAAAGAGAAATCCTGACCTGATTATGCCAAACTTAAATCCCGCAGACCAGAGATGCTGGGAAAATCCCCAAAAGGTCTGGAGGAAAATTCCCCACCCTGTTTTCCTACCAATAGATCATTCTTTATTTGGGATCACAGGATACCATCTCCAGCTCTGTAGGCTTCATTCAAGGAAAGCAGCAGAAGCAGCAGAAGTATTTATTTCTCTCCCCTAAACTCCACCAGAAAATAGTATTTGTGAGACTTGTCGCACCGACACAGCCTCTTGGAGCAGGATGCCTTGCAGGGTCCCAAAGACTCATTTCTGGTGGAGTTTGGGGGAGAGAAAGAAAGATTTTTGCTGCTTTCTTTGCATGCAGCCAAAAGCAGAAGAAGAAAGAAGCGGAAAGAAGCAGCCCAGTGGCCAGGCAAGGCCACTAACCGCCCTTTGCCCTTTCCCCCCCTCCTCTCACTATCTCGTGTTGTTCGCAATGCAAGCGACGGAAGCCTTGTGTTCCCACGGGCCATGTGGGCGGCACAGCCTTGTGTTCCCATGCAGCCTGGATTAATTGCTTTGGGAAGTGCTTTGGGGGTGACGTTTCTCTGCAGACCACCAAAATTTTCTTATGAACCACTGCTCTAGGTTGAATATCTTACCTGATTTTAACTCCAGCTCTTTTTGATTAAATGCCTTTTGGGAAGCTGCAATAGTTGACCATGTGTTGATGGCCAGAGCAGTAAGTTTTTCTGTTTGCTGTTATTCTGCAGATGGACAAGACATCTTTCAGTTTGCTGTCTGTGAAAATCATACAAGTAACTAATTTACGAAAAGCCAATTTATGTGAGTATTCTACCATTTCTATAGACTCCATTTGGTACACTAATAGTTCGCTCTGACATAGATATTTACATTGAATAAAATACTATAATGCAATGTAGTACAGTTGCTACTATTCTGCAAAGGTATATGCAATTTCAGAAGAATTTAATTTTCCTTATTTTATTTGTAAATTGCATTTTCTCCTTTAAAGCATGTTTCAAACAGATTATAGAGACTTATTAGACATGATACGTTTTGAAAAGATGTTTGCATAGGGTGCTTTCCTTTTTAACAACAATTGAAAGGTTAATCCAGACTATGGAGGTTTCCTTTGTTAATTGACACTGAAAGACAATATTTAGGATAAGGGAAGAATAATTTTAAAATGTCCTCTTACTTACATGTCCTATGAAAATTCAAATTATTTATTTGTTTATATTATAAAAAATTAATTTTCATCAAACTTATTTGTTCTGAATATAGCAATATTGCTTGCTACATTCATATATGGATATACATACATACATTCATGTATATACATACACACACACACATATATATGAAACTTCCTATATCTAATTCAATAAACAAATAGCAGAGGAAACTTTCTGAAAAGCCCAATTCTCAGGGAAGCATCTCTCTCTTCCAATACAGACGTGTGCGTTTTAAAGGGTGGGTGGGTCACAAGAAGGCAAAGATGGCTGCTTTGATCATGCAATTGAAGCTTTGCCTCTTTTTAACATGTCAGACACAAAGCATATAAGTAAAAGAAGATGGGGCTTCCATTGCATAGTTATAGCCATCATCATGAACTTTTTAAATCCCTCTGCCTATGAATACATCTGCGCCAGTTTGTTGATATGCAGGCACTAACCCCCATAGAGGTTTCTTCAATTTTGAATACTATCTGTCCAAAATATTAAAAAGTGATTTTAATTCCTTCAGTGCATTCAATAGAAAAGTTATCTGTCCAAAGGATTCGCTTCCGTTTTTTACGTAATCAACCATTCTTCCAAATCCTACTGCAACTTCTACAAGCTACCTACATTGTTTTTGTTATTATTATTCATTATGATCTTCAGAATCATAGGCTGGAATTGATCAACTAAGCCAGCAAAAACAAAACAGGGGAAAAAAATCCATAATAGTCTATAGAAATTCTAATGCAACAAGCAGGATAAAAGCCATAATACTACTAGGAAGGTAACATTTTAATTGTTAATTCATTTCAAGGGGGATACATGACTGAGCAGAATCGTTTTCTGCAACCACTGCAAAAGGAAAGGGAACAGCCATGAATTATTTTTTATCAAGCAATTACTGAGACGAAAAAAAATTTTTTTTGCTTCCCTGTAAAGACTGGAAATAAAAATTAAAATAAGCAAGAAAACCATAAGAAAACACCTATCTGACCTTGATGAATACTGGTACCTAATGGATTACATCTGAGAGTTCTGAAGGAATTTGCAGATTTTATCTCAGAACCATTGTATCATATCTTTTAAATAAATATTGGAGCACTGAGAAACTACCAGACAATTTGAAAAGAGCTGATGTGGTTTCTATCTTCAGAAAAAATAGTGGGGTGGGGAACAGACCCAGGAAACTATAGACCAATCAGTCTAACATCAATACCTGGGAAGATACTGGGAAAAATAATCAAAAAACAGATCTGTGAACATCTAGAAACACTTAAACATGAGTCAGCTACATGCAGCAGCTACCAAAAAACCAAATTCAACTCTTGGTTGTATAAACAGAGGCATACAATCAAAATTGTGTGAAACATTAGTACTGCTTTATGAAGCCTTAGTAAGGCTTGGAATACTGCATCACCACCAGTTTTGCTCACCACATTACAACAAAGGTGTTTGAAACTTTGGGAAATGAAAAGAAGAAGAACTAAGATGATTAAAGGCCTGGAGACTAAAACTAATTAAGTATTAAAAAAATTAAAGTAATTAAGGATTCACAGCCACTGTGAATTCAGAAATTAGATCTACCCTGTTTCTCCAACAATACGGCCTCCCCCAAGAGGAAGTCCCACCATGTTTTATAGGCATGAAATGAAATTAAGCCCCTCCCCCCAAATTAAGGCCTATATTAAAATATGCGAAATGGGGGGGAATGGTGGGGAGGCTTGCCGTTAGGAAGTACTTTTGTTGCACACCCGGATATAGTGCTGCCTGCATTGACCCCGATACAAAGTGCCCCAACAATGCTGAGGTCAACATCCAAGCCATTGCCGGCCCCCCCCCCCCCCCCAAAAAGGCAAGGGGGGGGGAATTAAGTCACCCACGAAAATATGGCCTAGCCATTTTTTCAGGGCTCAAAAATAAATAAGACCCGGCCTTATTATATGAGAAACATGGTAGTTAAGAAAACTCTTGGTTTCTTTGTACTCTTGGTTATATGTATGTGTATATGATCTTGTCAGGGATTAAAATAAACTTTAATGATAGCATGTGTTCTAGGAATGCTGCATTAATCCCTCTTTTTTTAAGAAAAAATAAAAATAAATCAAAATCCAACAGTTGGCCAGTCTGACTGCTATGTGAGCTTGTTCCTGCCATCAGCTTCATTTGAAACGGCTCGTACAAAGAACATTAAGGACTGTAAAGATCCAGTATGGAATGAAACCTTCTGCTACAGGATACAGAATCAAGTCAAAGTAAGGCACAAAGTGATTAATATTACTCTTTGAGGTCCTGAACTACATCAAGGTTCATATTTTGTAAATATTCAGTTGTAAAGGGGCATTAATCCAAAATAGTTTTTATAAACATATTTATTTAATTCCTGTTTCAGTGCCAGACTGAGGAACAATTACTGGGCATGCCTTTGTAAGATATTTTTTGTATAGTTATAATAATTTTAACAAGTTTTGGGTTTTTTTGGTAAATACAACATTGAATAACAGAATTAAACCATAGTCGTATAGCAACTGGATTATGATATACAGGTTGTCCTTGACTTACAACAGTTCATTTAGTGACTGTTCAAAGTTACAACGGCATTGAAAAAAGTGATTTATGATAGTTTTTCACACTTATGAACATTGCAGCATCCCCATGGTCAAGTGATCAAAATTCAGATGCTTCATTTTTATGATGGCTGCAGTGTCCTGGAATCATATGGTCACTTTTGGGACCATCTGACAAGCAAAGTCAATGGGGAAGCCAGATTCACTTAACAACTGTGGCAAGAAAAGCCATAAAATGGGTCAAACTCACTTAACAACATAAATTTTGGGCTCAATTGGGGTCGTAACTCGAGGACTACCTATAATATGTAGCATTAGTAAAGGGAAATTTTAGGATTCACTCATATTTCCTTTCATCGGTTAACATATCCTTATATATAGCAGGGGTCCCCAACACACCCAAGCCACAGCCTGTTCAGAACTGGATCATATAAGCGGTAGGTGAGTGCGCACTCAGCTCCATTTGTGTGAGTGGTGGGCGCCGTCACCTGGGCAAATAGAGCTACATGTGGATTTGTCTGCCACTCATGTGGGACCATCCCCTCTCACCATTTCACGTTGATGTGCAAAGTCGGTGAGGTTGGAGATCACTGATATATTCGGCAAAGTAAAGTAAAAACATTTTCAATGGCGAAGATTTAAATAAGGCAGAAGTTAACAATTTGACAGATGAAGCAAAGTCATGTTTTGATCTACCGCTGGGTTAGTCACTTTGGTTACTTTTTTAGACAATTAAGTTGTCAACTCATAAAATATTTCTATGGTCTTTTTAGAGTTGCCAACAGAAAGGGAGGGGGGAGCAGTGTGGCAGCTTGGAAACTGAAAACTATTTATGCACTCCATAAATAGTTTTCAAAGGTAGTAATTAGGTGACTGAAGTTTCTGCCGCGCAGAATTCTAACTGGAGAACATGATTGATGACTCTTGGCTATGGATGTGTCCCATTGGAGAATATGAATTATGATACACCCAAGGGGTAGGGGGAAACCAGGTTCAAGGGTGACAATGAATTATGTGTCTCAGAGTCGATTACACCCAGGCAGTGTCAGACATGTTAACTCCCAATAAATCGTTTTGAAGTTTTGGAAGTTTGGCTCCAGTCTCACAATTTAATTGGGGTGACTGCTGGAATCCTGACACAAGTTACACCAACCAGCATAGTAACTCTAAATGTAAAATAATATAGCAGGGAAAATAATATTAATAAGCATTATGAATTCACAACAGGGAAGCAACATAATAACTACATAACCTACAAGCATTAGTCAATATCAAAATTGGGGGTCACACATCATCATGTCCCAAAGCTTGTTGAAAGAGCCAGCTTTTCAAGCTTTTCATAAAGGGCAGTAGCATTGCTTAGTGGAATAATGTCTGCCTCAGGAACTTTAATCGCTCACAAGTGAGAACATTATTTTACAATCCTTGTGCTGGTTAGACAGTATTAAGTTAGTTGGGAATTGGGAGCTGTCCCCTTAAGAGAATACTTCATGAGAAATATTAATGCATCATGGGAAATGTAGTTCCTGTCATGTGGTCACATCTGTAATCCTGATTGGTCACTGAATTGACCCTTGGTTGGGTTTGGGGGAGTTTCCTTTATTCTTGCTTGGACCCCAGCATCGTGCTGGTATCTTTCCCTTTGCTCCATTGTTATGGGATGAAGATAACTATATTTTCACACTACGAAGTCAACTATGCAAAGATTGGACATTAGATGGATGTCGACATAGCTGTGAGTTATACCTTGAGGATGCCTTGTGATGGAAGCCTTTGTAGAGTTTATCTAACTGTCTTTATATTCAGCCAGCAATTTAAAAACAGAACAATGCTCTTAAAATAGTTGAGTCACCTGACTTGTTACAGCATTTTTTATTTACATGACTGCTAAAATGCCTTTCCTGGCAATAGGTAGAAAAATTGTAATAGACTTAATAAACTTTACATGACAAGAAATCAATTCTTATAAAACTGAGTTAAGAAAGACATTATAATGCCATCCCTTAGCAATAAATACCAGTTTGAAATGGTTGGGCTTAATAATACAGATCATCCTTGACTTACAACTGTTTGTTTAGTGACTGTTCAAATTACAATGGCACTGAAAACACTGTCTTATGACCGTTTTCACATTTATGACCATTGCAGCATTCCCATGGTTACATGGTCAAAATTCAGATGCTTGCCAACTGGCATGAATTTATGACAGTTGCCATATCCCGGGGCCATGCAATCACCTTTTGCAACCTTCTGACAAGCAAGGTCAACGGGGAAGCCAGATTCATTTGATAACTGTGTTGCTAACTTAACATCTGCAGTGATTCACTAAACAACTCTGTCAAGAAAGGTCATAAAATGGGGCAACTATCTTGCTTAGCTACAGAAATTTTGAGCTCAGTTGTGATAGTAAGTCAGGGACTTACTGAAGTGGCTTTGCTTTTAGATAATATCAGTATCTTCTTCATTAACATATTTGGCTGATATCGTACATATTGGCAAGCCATTACCTTTGACTACTTTTGTTCAGTTTTAATTTTGATTTTGAGTTGGGCAAAACTTGGCGAAACTTTGGCAAAAAGTTGCACGAACTGAGCTATTGTGATTGAATATTTTTAATGAATTAGTGAGCTATGTGAAACCAGCTATTATAGGTTTTTTTTTGTTTTACAGAATCATGATTAAGTGCAATATTTATTTATTTTTATTTATTTAATTTATTTAATTTATATTGCCACCTATTCGCCCATGGCGACTTGAGGCGGCTTACACAATGTAAAACACATTTAAAACAAAAATAAAAATGCAAACAATAAAAACTAACAAAAAGAATCAAATAAATTAGTAAAGTACAATAGAACAAAATTTGGGAAAACAAAAAACAAAAAATCAAAAACCAACTCCCACACCCTGCCCCAGTGATAGCAGATCACACTAGCCATTTGATGGGCTTTAAAGGTGACAACCAGCAACTTGAATTGCACCCAGAAGCAAATCGGCAACCAATGCAGCTCCTGCAGGAGAGGTGACACATGTGCGCACCGGGGTCTGCATAAAACCATGTATGGACCCAATCATTATGATTAATGAGACTTTCATCAGAGAAAGAGGCTTCATGATTATAATCTTTATATTAGAGAATGTGATTAAGTCACAATATTCTTAATTAACCTTTTTTTTTGCCAAATGAAATACAGTGTTTGATGTCAACTGGCCTCTGAAAGACAGTATCTAGAATCTATTTAAGATCAAAAATAGAAACCTTGCCAAACAATGAACTCACAATATCTCTTGCCTTCAGATTCATGAGAATATACAGATAATCCTCAATTTACAACAGTTCATTTAGTGACTGTTTGAAGTTACAATGGCACTGAAAAAAAAATGAACATATGAATCTTTTTCATACTTATGACCATCCCAGCATTTACCATGGTCAGATAAACAAAGTTCAGACGGTCAGCAACTGACTCATATTTACAACAGTTACAGTGTCATGGAGTTATGTAATCGCCTTTTGTGACCTTCTGACATGCAAAGTCAATAGGAAACAACTGTGTCACTAACTTAATAACTGCAGTGATTCACTTAACTGTGGCCAAAAAAAAGGTTTTAAAAAAGGGCAAAACTCACTTAACAATTATTTAGCAAATAAAAATTTGCTAAATTTTAGAAATTTGGCGCTTAGCTGTGGTTGTAAGTCAAGGATTACCTGTAAAATGTGGGAAGATACCAAAAGATACAGAACACTTGCACATACATATTATTACTTTCTGAAGGAAGAATAAGTAACCTTAAGTGCAAAAACAAGTAACCTTAAAACCTAAATATATGTGTGAGGTCCATATAGTTCATTAGTGTAATTCACAGTGGCCACTTAAAGAAATCTCACAAATAGGATTTGGTATAAGAATAATTTCTCATTCTGATGCCTGTATGCAAACTAAATTGAAATTCCATGAACTTTTGAGCTTAAGCAAATTCTGCATTATTGTTGTGGACAACATTCATTCATTCAAAAAAACAACAACTGTGGTCATAGCTGCTGATTTTCTCATTCTTTCTAGGTATTTTTAATGAGTATTTATTGCTAAGAAGTGCCATTATAATGCTTTCTTTAACTTGCAGTGCCATCAGTTTGATCATAGATGGTTTTGTAAACTGGGACATAGTTCCCCAGATTAAACTGAGCATCCCAAACTAAGGCTAAATTGAAAAATGTTAGGGAATTCCTAGAAGCTCGGCACTCAGATGAATCAGCCATCAATAGGCACATAGAGATAAACCACATTTTTATTTATTTAATAAATGCATATGTATCCCCCCTCCCCTCTATCTTGAGTGACTCTGATGATTTATACGATATTCAAAAGAGACAATAAAGAAAGCTAAAAAGGAAGATGGCAATTCTTGGAGATTCGAATGCCTCCTTGCCAGCAATCAAAGCCCAGTTTAGTAGGAATGAACTCCAGGAGGAATATCAGGCAAACTATCAAGCAATAAACGATCAAGCAACTACCAACTCAGACAAAGCAGTAGACCACACCCTAATCAAGGAACTACCAAGGAGAAAAACCACACACCCCACCATACAGACAGGGCAAGTTACTGTACATAAGCAGAAAGAAAATCCCACTCCCTTCTAGCACTGAAGATGTTACCTAGCTAGGTTAAAAAAAGGTCTGCACAAGAACTTCACAAGGGGCATACTGTTACTACTTAATATCTACTAACATGATATGAAAAACACTAGTACAATCTTTAAATTAGATGAACTCTTAGTTATTAGTCATAATCAAATAAATTATATATGATCTATGGTAATTTATGTTTAATAAAAGCCAGTTCACAGTAGGCAAGGATGAGCCATAATATTTTTGGTATACCCTGGGTATTGAGCCTACCAGAATAAGTAGCAATTAAACTGTAAGCCCCAAATCTGCCAATCATTTTGTAAGTAGGAGGGAAAACGTCTCACATTACTTACTGTATGTCACACCAGATTTTGTTTCATAGTTTAATATTGTTTAATAGGTAGTTTAATATTTGATGTGGGAGAGAAGAGTTTTTCAAAGTGTGTCTGCACTGCTGTCACAATTAGAAATGCTGTGGCAAGCTAATTATATGTAAGTGGGAAAAAAACTTTGCAAAGGAAGAATACTGTCTCTCTTCCTCTCTACCAAATTATTGTTGCCATCAAGTGCAACCTGCCTACCCACCCTTCACTTGCTTTTATACAGCAGAAATTACCATAGAATATACATGATTTATTTCACCATAGTTCATATCATTCAAAGATTATACTAATGTTTTCATATAGTAATATGTAATAACAGTATGCCTTCTGGGGTGTTCTTGGTTGTTTTTGTGCAGATGTTTCATTACTTGGCTAGGTAACATTTTCAGTGCTAGAAGGGAGTAGGATTTTCTTTCTGCTTATGTACAGTAATTTTACTCTGTCTGTATTGTTGAGAGTGTAGTTTTCTCCTTGGTAATTCCTTGATTAGAATGTGGGCCACTGCCTTTCCTGTGTTAATAATTCCTTGATTGTTTATTGCTTGATTGTTTGCCTGATCTTAATCCCTGGATCTTAATCCTCCTGGTCTTAATCCCTGGTTATCAAGGAGGTGTTTGGGTCCCCATGAAGTGCCACCTTCTTGTTTCTTGTTTGCTTTTTATTATTGTTTCTTTTGAACGGTGTGCAAGAGATAATGATGGGGGAGGGGGTGTCACAAATATATTTAATTAATAAATAAAAATGTGGTATTTCTTGATGGACCTGTGGGTGGCTGATTCATCTAAGTGCCAAGCTTCCAGGAATTCCCTGGCATTTTTCAATTTAGCTTTAGTCTGGGATGCTCAATTTATTCTGGGGAGTGATATCCAGATAAAACTACTTGGGTATATGTACTTGGGTGAAATTTGACCTACACAAACAATTAAGATGACAAAAGTAATTGTAGGATTATTGCCTACTTTCTGTATAGATATGAGATTTTTTTTTGCTTTGAGTACAAAATTCAGAAGTGGTTTCCAAGCAGGAACAAAACTGGATATGTTCTTTTATTTAATTAAAAAAATTAAAACAATCAATTTTGTTATTTCTTCTACCTCTATGACTTTTTCTATCCATGCTTTTATTGTAGTGCTTGATGTTGGGTTTTGCTGATTAAGTAGTTTTTTGTTATAAAAATGGCTAATAATTATTTAGATGGCTAAGTAAAAAGTTGAGATTGTGATTATATTTTACTTCGCTGAACAAAAGGGGAGCCGATGCTTTTCCTCCCTTGCCCCTGTATCTACACCTTTCTTCCCCTTTCCCCTTTTTCTATCATCTTTGTTTTCATGCGTAGTTTATAATTTTAATTAAAAAATTAAAAAGGAAGAAAATCACTTATATTTTCCCACCTTAAATTATATTATCAAGCAAATTGTCTATTATGGATAACAGAAAAGATAAAGTCCACAAACAGTAGAATATCAATTAAGAAGGAGCTGGTTTAGTCACCGGACTTCATGAGTATTTATGATATAAAGAAGCATAAAAAGAATTTGAAGGGATATACTATAAGACAATGATTGTTTAAAATATGGAATCTTCTATAATCAAGAACGCTCAATGGTTTTACCATTAGGTTGCCACCAAATTCCTTTTCTTCAAGTAAGAAAGATCTAATTTCATATGCCAAGGTGCTTCATCTAAACTCAGTTATGATAGATTGAACTATGTGATAATCATATAGTTTGGTCCTCTGTCTATGTTCAACTAAAGATTATAGGGAATATTGGACATCAGTACTGATACATACCATCTGAAGCTCCTTGATAAAACTCTTCTTCACAGTGGCCATTGACTATTTAAAGTACTGTCGTGGAATTATAACTGAAAGATAAATCAAAGAGTAAATGTAACCATATAATGTAAGAATCAACTATAGCTATGCTTCCTTCCTCAAGCTTAGAATTCAAAGACTTATAGTCCTAATACATACTTTGAACTTAAACTATAACTAGAATTCTGTAATGAAAGCGAAATTGCTTTCTTATGTATGAAGAGAAGAGTCTGACCAATGAATGTTACTCTCTTTTTGGTTTGGTGGTCTAAATTCATAATCTGATGATTTAAGTTTCCTTCTCTTCTCAGAATATTTTGGAACTGATTGTTCATGATGAAAACCACTGCCTTTTGGATGGCCACCCCTTCACTGTTCTGTTTGACATTGCTAAACTTCAGCTTGGAGAAACAATTTGCCTCACATTTCCACTGGATCCAAAAGTAAGGGGACAGAGTTGCTCATCAAAGGAAGGACATGATTAACAAACAACAAAACTGTTGACATTTACTGCTGGGGAATGGAAGAGATAAACATAGATTTAATGGGAATTTTCAGCATCAACCAATCTCACCCAGAGGTGGCATTCAGCAGGTTCTGACCAGTTCTGGAGAACCGGCAGTGGAAATTTTGAGTAGTTCAGAGAACTAGCAAATATCACCTCTGACTGGAGATTTTACAGTATCCTTCCCCTGCCACGCCCATTAAGCCACACTCACAGAAACGGTAGTAAAAAAAATTGAATCCCACCACTGATCTCACCCCTCAAACACAAGAACAATTTATCTATTTTAATCTTAATCCAAGAAGCTTTATAATCCTTAATATTCCTTTCTATATATCATCCTTTATTTACAATTAATTAAAGTCAATCAAAATCTATTAAGAGATATCAGAAAAAAAATTATATTAATGCTACTCAAAAAGGCTTAAAGTACAAAATTAACAGGATTTTAAAAGCTCTTCATTCAGTCCTAGTTAGCAAAAGTCCATTCATTATTAGAGATAACGTCTCTTGTCACAGAATCCTTCAAAGTTTTAGTAGGCTCATCCAGTATAGGAAAATTATATCACTTGCCTGTTTTATTATATGTATGCCCTTTTTAATTGTTGAAGCTTCAGCCAGTTTTATTTGTACATCCAGTATTTCATACTCTTCTATATAGTTCTTGTAAATTGTCATTCCCAAATCCACATTTAAATTAGTTCCAAGCTTATCCAGTACAACCTGTTCCTCTTCCACAACATCATTTGTTTACCTACAATAGCAGATATTTTAAAAATTAATTCCTTAATCCATTGTTTCCAGTTATCCTTAAATGGATCCAGTGTTAAAACATCTTGTTTCATTCTTGTCAAGTAATTGATGTGTTTCTCTTTTAAATGCAATCTTTAGTTCTTTCTAATTTCCTCTAATGAACAAACATCAACATCCCAACTTATTATGTTTCTATTTTTAGAGTTTAATAAAAGCAATTTCCATGTGAAGGATTCGTGTAATTTTGGGAAGGATTCATGTAATTTTATTTCACATCTATCTGGAACCTTAGTTTATAACTTTCCAAAACCAATACTCTAATTACCTCTTCGCTGTTTACTTCAAAAATATTTTTCTGAATCTTTATGTTCATATTCAGAAATCATTTCACTATCGATTCTCAATACTTTAGAAACAATTTATAAAAAGTAATTCCAAAAGTGATTAAGAGATGACGACTGGTTCAACTTAAACATCCTTGAAGGTATTTTTTTATGTAAGGCTTTCTTGAATTTTTTTCCATTTATACATAATACCAATAGTTATTAAACAGCACATTATATATACATTTATGTGTCCTGTCAAAACTTACAATAAACAATACTTTCATACCCTCTTACAATACTTGCATACCTCTTGAAGGTATTATTAGCTTATGAGCTTGATGAAATCCCTCAACTCACAGCTTCACAACACAGAAGTGCCTGCAGAAACACTAGTTCCTGCATTAGTCATGAGTAGCAGCTGTTCAGACCAGTGGTGGGATTCAAATTTTTTTACTACCGGTTCTGTGGGCGTGGCTTGGTGGGCATAGCATAGCTTGGTGGGTGTGGCAGGGGAAGAATACAGTGAAATCTCCATTCCCTTCCCACTCCTGGGGAAAGAATACTGCAAAATCCCCATTCAGCTGTGACTCGGGAGGCAGAGAATAGGTGGAGCAGGGCCAATCAGAGGTGGTATTTGCCAGTTCTCCGGACTACTCAAAATTTCCATTACCTGTTCTCCAGAACTGGTCAGAACCTGCTGAATACCACCTCTGGTTCAGACTGCATATGGGTGCTCTCATGATCTCTCCTTTCCCTAAAGTGATTTCTGCAGCTTGAATCCAGTATCCTATCATTGATTCAACCAACACGTTGTCCCTGCTGTTTAGGAATGTCTATTCAGCATGTCCTCACTGGAACTCCTTCAATATGTTGCTGATATCCAAAGATATTTAAAGTTAATTCTCAGGGAAATGATAGCAGGAATCAGACAGAACCTTCCTGCTAAAATGGGTACAATACCCACATAATGAAATGAAGACACAAGACAGTAAAAGGAATATTAAGAGGGCCATCAGTTTATTTAACTTAACTAATACCATTAATACTTAAATCTGGAGTGTGGTAGCAGTAAAAAAAAAGATACCTTATTACAAGAAGTTAATACATCATTGTATATTAAAGGAATTTATGTAATTGCATTTTCTTTGGAGATAACTCTGTATATGTCATAATGAAATAATGCATTATTTTTTCATAGATTCAAGAAAATCTGGAAGTAGAATTTAGTCTGGAAAATATGTAAGTACTTCCTAGACTTTTAAGAATTTGTAACATAAAACAAGCTTCCCTGCCTGCTATGGAAAATATGGATAGAATGGCATTAAATATTGGATAGAACTTTTCCAATTTTGCATGCCTCTGCCTGATATCCTGGCATGGAGTATGTGGGCATATTGGCATTTATACATTCCATCTACCTTCAGCCTTCCTTTATTCTTGCAATACTCATTCAGGCTCTCTTTCTCAAATGATGGATCTGAATCTATGATTCTGTTGTCATATGCAGTAGACCAAGAAGTAGTAGTAATAATATTAGCTATCTTCAAATTAGAGGGATTTTTTTAATGTCTATTCTAAAACTACCATATTAGAATTACAGAAAAACCCAGGTGATCCTCAGATGATAACAAAAAGTGGAAGCTTTTCTGTTATTCATAGTCCTAGTCTATTCTGCCCTGTTAATATGGAAAAATGCCAGCTGTGAGTCTTTGGATTAATTAGGAGTGAGGTTGATTATCATTTCAATGGGAAGTTTGGTGTTTGAGTGGATGATTAACAGGTCTTTTCCCCAGTGCTAAAATATTTTCTGCCCAGCTTTAAGACATTTAAGACAGAGTTGTGGTGGCGCAGTGGCAGTGGTGGTATTCTATCAGTTTGGCCCAGTTCTGCAGAGCCGGTAGCAGCAATGAGCAGCGGCAACTGAACCAGTTCTCTTCACCACTCTGCTGTTGGGCCCACCCGCCCACCTGGGCTATTTATGTAGTTGCTAGGAGTCAGAAATGACGATGGCACATAATCAATCAATCTCATTATTTCAAATTGAAAATAAATTGTCAAAATGGTGTTCAGCTTCATTTTAGTCTTGGATGTTTCATGCACTTGCCTAATTCTCCATTGCTCACCTACCAGTGATAAACCTAAAATTAGTTTAAAAGCTTCACATTAGAATGTGGCCAAATCTTAACCAAAGTAAAGTAATGCAGAGTGTGATGTCATTATTTCATATCATCCCAAATTAAATAAAAAACGCAAATTTAAATAACCAAAATCTGTTGTGACATATGCCTTTTTATTTTTATTTTTCAGTTCAGTTCCTCCTGAGAATATTGTTACTAATGGTGTACTAGTGGTAATTTCAATTTTGCTTTTTTTCTATTTTTAAAATGCATGTTGTTGTGGGCATTTGGCTATTTGAACTCTGCAGTCCTTAAATTTGATTTTATCTTGTGTGGATGTGTGGGTGTGTGAATAGAATGGGTGAGTGCAATTAGTTGAGGCAGACAGTATAAAGTTTCACCATAATGAAGTTTCACCAAAATGCCTCTATAGCCATACACAGAGATTTTTTACCTTTGTGGTATGAATAAGGAAATCACACAGGAATTATGCCTTTAATTATAATTACCTCAAAACTTCAGAACAAATCATAAATTGGTAAGCCTAGCATAATCAATATGAAGTAAAGCCTATCATATTTAACGGAGTTTCCTCTCACATAAGCAGGCATGAAGTCTGAAAGAAGCGTCCTAAATATATTGGGAGGCAAATGCATGAGGGGAGTGTATGATGATAGTACCAACAACATATATCCACAAGTGCATACAAACACATACATAAATGGTGTGATAGGCTGAATCATTTTTAGACCATTTGGGAGCTGTCCAGAGATGATTATATGCTAAGTGGGTTTATGCATTTAAATAAATAAATAAATGAACAAACAAATATCAGATAGATAGATAGATAGATAGATAGATAGATAGATAGATAGATAGATAGTAGGTAGGTAGATAGATAGATAGATATTTATTTAGTATTTAGTTTACTTTATTATCATTGCACCTCATACAATGAAATTAAATGCCATTTTCAGTATATATTATAACTATAAAAATAAAACACAAACACACATCCTTCACATCCTATACAATTAATATTAATATTGCACTATACAGTAGAATTTAATATAGTTACTGCCCTGGGATAGAAGCTGTTTTTCAGTCTATTTGTCCTTATTTTTATTATCCTGTACCATCTGCCAGATGGTAATAGTTCAAAAAAAGAGTGCCCAGGATGAGTTGGATCTTTAAGAATGTTTTGAACTTTCTTAAGGCAGCGGGAGCTATAAAGCTCTTCTAAAGAGGGGAGAGGGCAACCAATGATCTTCTGGGCAATGACATTAACTCTCTGGAGTGCTTTCCTATCTGCCACTGTGCAATTGGCAAACCATACAGAGGTGCAGTAAGTTAAGATACTCTCTATGGTGCAGCAGTAGAAGGTCACCAGCAGTTTTTCATTCAGTTGTTGTTTCCTGAGAAGTCTGAGAGGTAGTATAATCTCTGCTGGGCCCTTTTGACCGGTGCTGCAATGTGAGTGCCCCAGGTCAGGTCCTCTTTTATGATAACACCCAGGAACTTAAATTGGCCACTTGTTCCACTCGGTCTCCATTGGTAAACAAGGGCTGGATGTCTTATTTATTTCTTCTAAAGTCCACTATTAGCTCCTTGGTCTTATTGATGTTAAGGACCAAGTTATTGTCTCCACACCATGAAAGCAGCCAGTCTACCTCATTTCAATAAGCAGTCTCATTACCCCCAGAAATGAGTCCCACCACTGTTGTATCATCTGCAAATTTAGTAATAGTATTGCTAGCATGAGTGGGAATGCAGTCATGCACATAAAGAGTATAGAGTAAGGGACTCAACACTCAACCCTGTGGTGTACCAGTGTTACTTAATCTGACCTTCTGAGAGCGGCCAGTAAGGAAATCCATAATCCAAAGGCAGACTGAATAAGCAAGTCCAAGATCCATAAATTTAGATGACAGACAGACAGACAGACAGAGGGACAAGCCTCTCAGGCAATTTAAGTGTCTTTTGTTCAGAAAAGTTTAGCAGAATAAGGGCATCTAAACAGAGGCAGTTACATTTTCATTTTGGTTCCTACCTGAATCAATTTCAGAACCAAACATAGGTGCTTCCCACATTTTAGTGCTCTCAATGTTCATGGAAAAAATTGTTTAATTTCATATACTGTATTTAAAATAGGTACATAATTCTAATTTGGTTATTAATTTAGGTATTTGTTTAGATATTTCTGGCTAAGTCTCATGTTGTAAAACATTCCCAGTAATATTCTATTTCTTTCAAAGCTATTTTGTTTTGGCCACTAAGATTTTCTTCTCCTTTTGATAGTCCCGTGAAATTTCCTGCTTGGAGATAGAAGTGAATAATATGAAATGTATTTCAAAAGGTAATACTTGGAAATGTATTGTTTTGTATGTATTGTTTTAATAGTCATTGGCCAATGATGGAAAAGATGAATCACATGAATCAGATAAATGCATATTGATCACAGAGTAAAAAAAAAAAAAGCACAATACAAATGGAGTTAATTCCAATATGTATAGATCATTGACTTCAGATAGACTCAAGGTAGTATATGTAACTAAGCAAAACCTGACAAAAGAGGATTCCTCTATTATTTAAATCTCAGATTCCCTACAGGAAGATTTCTGTCTTGAATGCCCATTGAAACATCATTCAGAAGGGCAATAACTAAAGATCTGGAGGCAAGGTATTTTGTAAAAAGGGAGAATCATATTTTTTGTTCCCTTTCTCAGGGGACAGAGTACACTTTAGCTTGCCCTTCTGCATCAAATACATTCTATTGGTATATATTGGATATATTGGTTCTCTGCAGAGCAGTTTGTTTCTATAACAATAAGAGATAACTCTTATTATATATTATTTATAACTTCAAAAAAGGCAGCTATGATCTTATAATCAACGATCTCTCTTCCCTTGATTGGCAATTTCTGTTCACTGGATGCAATACTGTTGAAGACCATTACAACATATTCTTACTAGAAATCAAAAGAGCCATCAAACTATATGTACCAATAACAACTCACAAAACCAGGTAAAACAGATTACCCATAACAATAAGGAAGCTTCAATCCAAAAAGAGATCACTTTGGCGAAAAAAACCAATCTGGTCACATTTCCAACTTCAAAAGCCGATACAAAAATCTATGCCACCACATAAAAACTGAATGCATTAATTATCATATTAAACAAGAGGAAAACCTTCTGCGCACAAACTCCACCCGTGCTTTATACAATTTTGTACACAACAAACTAAAAGACTCAAGGTCCATCCCACCCCTGAAAGGACCTAATGGCAAAGACTGCAATGACAACACCATCAAAGCAAACCTCTTTAACACATTCTTTGGCTCAGTATTTGTAAACAGCAATGGATCATGTCCAGTACTTCCTAGTCAAACTACAGACAACTACAGTGATCTAATACATATCGATTTTACAGAAGACATTGTTGAAAAAGCACTACACAATCTAAAACCATCCCTATCTATTGGACCGGATGGAATATGTGCCTACTTCTTTAAAAAGAAGTACTGCCATAGCCAAACCTCTAAGCATAATCTTTGAAAAATCTTTCAGGATCAGCTCCTAGCCAAAACTATGGTCACAAGCCACGGTCATCCCCATCTTCAAAAAGGGAGACCCCAGCCTAGTTGAAAATTACAGACCAATCTCCTTATGCTGCATCACCTGTAAAGTCATGGAATCAGTTAGGAACCAATCCTTTATCCTCCACTTAGAGAAAAACAACCTACTCTCTAATAAACAATTTGGTTTCAGAAAAAAAACTATCCTGTAATCTGCAACTCTTCTACTGCAAAAACATATGGACTATACAACCTGATAAGGGTAAAGCAATAGACGCAATCTACATAGACTTCTGTAAAGCCTTTGATTCAGTGGTACATGACAAACTACTACTAAAACTAAAATCTGATGGTATCTCTGGACACCTACATAACTGGATAGAAGCATTCCTGTCAAACAGACAACAAATGGACAAAATTGGGAGCATCCTATCAAATTCTGTACCTGTCAACAGTGGTGTCCCCCAAGGCAGTGTTTTAGGACCAACTCTCTTCATATTCTACATAAATGACCTCTGTGATCATGCGTTCTCTTTGCTGATGATGTAAAGCTATTCAACACCACAGACAATATCACTACCCTCCAAAAAGACCTTGACTATGTATCAGAATGGTCAATCAAATGGCAACTTCAAATCTCAACAAATAAATGCTCTGTCTTGCATATTGGCAGAAAAAAAATCAGAAAATAAAATACAAGCTAAATAGTCAAGACCTTGTTGAGGATCCAAACTTTGTCAAGGACCTTGGAGTACTCATCTCAAATGATCTAAGTGCTAGAGCCCACTGTAACTACATAGCCAAAAAGGCATTAAGAGTTGTTAATCTAATCCTATGTAGCTTCTTCTCTGGTAATATCACACTACTAACTAGAGCATACAAAACATTTGCTAGATCTATACTTGAATACAGCTCATCAGTCTGGAACCCATATCATGTATCTGATATTAACACAATTTTAAAAGTCCAGAAATATTTCACAAGAAGAGTTCTCTACTCCTCTACTCATTGCAGAATACCTTATGCCACCAGACTTGAAACTCTAGACCTAGAAAATCTAGAACTATGCTGTTTCCAGTCCGATCTAAATATAGTATATAAAATCATACATTGCAATGTCCTACCCGCAAATGAATATTTCAGCTTTAATCATACCAATACAAGAGCAAACAATAGATACAAACTCAAGGTTAACTGAACCAACCTCAACTGCAGAAAATACAACTTCAGCAAGAGCGGTCAATGTTTGGAATACTCTATCTGACTCTGTGGTTTCTTCCCTAAACCCCCAAAATCTTTAACCTTACTGTCTACTATTGACCTCACCCCCCTTCCTAAGAGGCCTGTAGGGGGCATGCATAAGCACACCAATCATGCCTACCGCCCCGTCCTATTGTTTTTTTATTTTTCTTATAAGTATCTATCTCATGTATTCAAAACTATATTTATTCTTATACCTGTATCTTGTAAGCAATTGACAAATCAAATAAATACTAAAAAATACTAAATAGATTACTATAAATTATGGTACTTATCTATATACTACTAAAACACTAGTTGACATGACCTTTAACTGGATGAAACTGTGCATCACAGAGCAACCATTTTTGAACCAAGCTTCCTCAAATAGGCTAAGTTACAGAATGTGTCCAAAATCCAGGCTCCATGACTCCTGAGAGAAAGAAAGTTGGGGAAATTGTGGCTGCTTCAGTTCTTCTGGCTGCTGTCATACTGTTGGACTTTTGCTGCAGTCTTGTAATCTTCATTTTCAATGTTCCCCGAGTCTTGCAAGTCCTCATTGCATCTCCCACCTTAACTGCCTGTTGGAAAGGGAAGAAAAAGGGAAGGGAGATGAGGAGAGGAGAAGAGAGGGGAGGAGGAAGGAAGGAAAATATAGGCATAAAGCTTTCCCTAATATATGCCTTTAAATACACACACAGAGAAACCATATTCCCTACTTAGCTACTTAGAATATACATAGTCTTTTATATGAAGCTTTCCTGAATATTTACTGTTTCATAACAAACATTTTAAGCCAATAATGTATTAGTAGATATGCAATGTATGAAAAATGTCTCTTTTCTTTTATGTACACCAAGAGCATTTGTACCAAGACAGATTCCTTGTGTGTCCAATCACATTTGGCCAATAAAGAATTCTATTCTATTCTATTCTATTCTATTCTATTCTATTCTATTCTATTCTATTCTATTCTATTCTATTC